TATATATATATATATATATGAAAAGTTTATATAGAGCCAAGGCTTTAGAACAATCAAATTGAAGCCTACCATAAAAATTTCTATACAAGAGAATTGTTTTAATGGCCAAATATACTCAAATTGATCATTTCGATATCAAGATGTATGGCCACAGAAAAAAATGGATTTCAAGTTTTGGATATAGTGTATTTTTTAACGTATTTTTGGATCATCAATTCTCAAGATTTTCAAGTTTCCATAGATCTATCGATTTACAATATTTTTGAAGTTTTCATAGATCTATCGATTTACAACACTTTATAAATAGATATGAAAATATATTTTAAAGCTATTACACAGATTTTCAGTATTGAAACCACATTTCTCGACATGATTTAAAGGTACGCTCTAATTTGATTGTTTAGAGCTTAGGCTCTATACAAACTGCACCTTTAAATATATATATAGAGAGAGAGAGGCTACATTGATTTTAGGTTAGGTATGTTGATTTTAGATTAGAGAGGGGATTCATTTAAATAGGTGAGATAATGAACTCACAGGCCCGTCTTAATATGGTGATTTGTATTTTATATGCGACTTTTGCAGGCTAATTTCGCTAGATGGGAGCCAGCCCATGGTCCCTTCGGTTTTAGGCATCCATGGAAACAATACCTCAAGATTGGGATGGCCGCTCGTTATTGTGCCTACTCTCTTGAAGCGCTCAACGCATGCACCAACTCTGATTCCCAGGTATCAAACAGGCCTATCATCCTATTCAAAAGGACCCGGTTTCTATGCGGCCAAGCCCGTATTTGTAGAAATGCGAGCTTACGAATAAATCTACTTTTGAGATGGATTTTTGGACTTAATTTGTAAAGACATGTAATCTCTAACATGGAGATCATAAATATATATAAAAAAAAAGGAAGTAAATTTTAAAAGCTAAAAATAGTGATTCTATTGAGAAAACATTTGGACCATTAGTTTCATTATTTTTAGATAGAACACCTACTTCCATCTATCTTTAAGATGGATGCTTACACTTTTTGTACCGCATATATAGTCATGCGGTTCAGTCCGCATAAAACAATTTTCCTATTCAAAATATCTCTATTATATTGCTTCTCAATACTGGATAAGGATAAATTGAAAATATAGACATACCTAGTTGATATAAAAAATTAAAAGCATATACTCACATATGATTTATAATATTTTGACCTATTTAGTGATATTGTAAAAGATTTTCGACCTTTCTAATTTTTATTTTTTTATTTTTTTTTTTGCAGTATATCTAATTTATTTGGGTTGTGTATAACCAATGTTCCTTTATATTATTTCTCAACTAAATAAGAACCACAAACCTATTTTAAATAAAATCATAAAAAATAATGAACAAAAAACCTAAAATGACTTTGAAAATCATAAAGTTTATCACTTGTAAAAGTAACAGTACTACCCTTGAAGTAGAAAGAACTGACCAATTCGGGCTTACGTGCATTCAGGCAGCCCAGGAATTAACGCAACATCTGAAAGCCGTATGCACCAAAGTGGGCCACGTTTCCTCCGATCTCCTCCTCGACCTCTCATCAACGGTCAAGAAAATGACAACATCTTCGCACACCGATTTACTCGTCGCGCAATTAAACATCGCCGTTCAAGAGCTCCAACTCGCACTGAAGATCCTCTCTAATCCGTTGCCGGTCCACGTGTCGATCCCGGATATCGTGCTAATCGCCACCGTCGCATCATTGACGGTGGAGATCTCCGCACGTGTGGAGGACGTAGCAGAGGCAGTTGAGGAATTGTCCAGAATCGCCCATTTTAAGACGGAAACCGCAGAGGAAAACAAGCAAAAGGCAGCCACTATAAAGGCGCTTGCTGACTCGGATGGGCCCCATGTGGCCATCCACGTGGACTCGTTATAGCACAGTGTTTATAAATGTTGTTTATCGTTTTAAAAAAAAACAAAAAAACAATTGTTGTTACTAATTGGTGTAACTTTTTGTGTTTTTTTAGAATGGCTTATTTGTTGGTGTATCTGGGGCCGTACCAATTTGGAGTTCGAGCATAATGATAATTTTTTTTGTTGAGAACTTTTATCTGTTTCAAACCCCATGTCGGTAGGGCGAATTGTTCACTCAAATAGCTAGATCGACGATCCAAATTGGATATGAATTGGTCTGAATCAATGATAAAAAAAGTTGTAAAAAGTAAAAAAAACAAAATAAAAATTAAAATAGAGGATTAAAAATCTGGATTGAAATCCGCTAGGTTTTAAAACACTCATTTTTGTCAAGAAAAAATCACCATTCCTACCCTCTACGAAAGTTATGACATTGTTTTGCCATTTTTATATTAAGTGGTCAGGGTGGCAGGAGCCACAACATATTCACTTGAGCTTTATTTCCATCAAGAGTAGATGACCCCCACCCCCTATTTTATTTTATTTTTATTTTTACTTTTATTGAAACAATAAAAATTTGATTGCTAACTACAAATCACTTTCCACAATTACAAATACCATTAGGCTAATACATCAAAATAAAACCAACATCCATTGCTAACTGACAAATCACTTTACACAATTACAAATACCATTAGGCTAATACATCAAAATAAAACCAACATCCATCAACAGAAAAAAAAAAATGGTTCAACTATACTACAAATATATTGTCAACAACAACTCCTCATTGAACTATCCAATAGAACAATTATTCTTTTGGGAAGTAATTGAAAGAAGTTGTACATTATTATTTCACACTCAAACAATAATTTTCTCAAAAAATAAAACAATGAAAATTGGAACTCCATAAATACTCCATAACCACTCAAGTCCAAACCCATGACCACTTATCATTTTCCCTCGTGCAAAACTAAAGCATTCACTGAAACACTTGGGAGGAAAATGATAAAAAAAACGCCATTAAAATTTATAAATGGTACATTGTTAAAACCTAGCATGCAAGCCACAAGCCAAATACTCAAGAAACTTATTTAAGCAACATAAAAATGGTTTTCCCTTTGTCAAGAAATGAAACTAAAGGGTTCTATGAGCTTCCCCAATGTGGAGAAAAATTATGTCATAGGAGAACATAATTCTTCGAGGAAGTGTATGTTGGAAAATAAGGTGGGTGAAATGGGGCTAGAGTATGAAGTGAAAAATAAAGGAAAGAAACAATTAAACAATGTGGACTTTTGTGCGCTCTTTCAATACTGTAATTTGCGCTCTTTCAATACTGTAATTTGCCCTCTTATTGTAAAATACCTGTATATAAAAAGCTGATTGGGCAAAACAGTCATCGAGATATCTGAAAACAATATGTCAGAATACTACTTGCTTTTAATTGCATGGTATATGTATGACTACATAGCACTATAGTTGCCTGAAATTAGAGAGAAAGCGTGGGTATGAATTTTACGGTAGAGAGAGAAAGACAGTACGTAATTGTTGAGTGAGAAAATTGAGTTAGTAAAATGGTAGCTCTAAATGGAGTAAAAAGTCTCTTTTAAAGAGTGAATAGTGACTGTTAAGGTGACTATGAACAGTCACTACTGTTCACAAGACATGTGACTGTTGGGTTTCCAACAGCTCCCATCCAACGATTATCAATCATTAGATTTGCAAACATGTCCCTTAGTCTCAATGGCTAGCACGACACTCGTACCCCTCCACACATATGTGTAGACACAAGTTGCATCACATAAAAATGGAGCAAGCCTCAAGCCTATACATAGGGTATGTAATGTGTGTTACCATCCAACGATTATCAACCATTATATTTACAAACATGCCCCTAGTCTCAAGGGCTAGCACGATGCTCGTACCCCTCCACACATATCTACGGACACGATTTGCATCACATAAAAATGGAGCTTGCCTCAAGCCCGTACATAAGTACGTAATGCGTGCCATCTAGTGCCCTTGAGCTCTCGCACAGCATGTGTGTGGAGCACACAAAAATGTGCAAGTGTGGGTGCATGTGCGGAGCATGCTTCATATATGCACCCACACTCGCACTTTTGTTCTATGTACATAAGGCATGAGAGTGCTCCGATATAGAAAGTACTCTTTCCATACTCCACTCTTCAATGTGGGATTAAAACCCACTATTTTCTCTCTATTTGTTTAAAACTTAGAACAACAACACAAGTAGGTATACTATTTTGAAATTTACAATAACATTTTACTATATTGAATACTAGTAGTGTATGCTCATTGCCACCTTAGTAGCACTATCTCCCTCTCACTCAAAAAAGAATAGCACAGGAAGGGAGCACGGGAACGGGATTTGCCCTAGCCTTTGCTCCCTTGGGATAAGAGCCAATTGTTTAAATTTATCCCATCGAAAAACGAAGCTACTTTTTTTAATTTATCCGATCAAAAAATATGGACTCACTTTAAAATCACCATGCTTATTAGAACTTCCAAATGAAAGGACAAACAAAAGGAAATCGAATTCTGAGTTTCTAAATACTTATAGCCAAATTGTTCAAAAGTCGGATCTTATGATGATTCATTCTTCAGACGTATACATAGGGCATTTGAATTTTATTTTATTTTTTCGGAGGTTATTAACTAGGTTGAGGAGGTTTATCCATGATATGAGATCCAAATGCATTTGTTGTGGAGCTGGTTTAGTATTACTAAGGAGGGAAGAAGGGTCTCAAAGGGTGATGTTGATTTAAATTTGCCTAATCTCATCACTTTAAAATTCATCAAAGTTAGGTTGAGGTATAGGTCGAAGCCTCCGTTGGTGGGATGTAGTAAGATGCATTTTGATGGTTCTTCTTTAAGTAATCCAGACGTGGAAGGGATTAGCAGTGTGTTTCAAATAGTTTGAGTAGAGTGATTTTTTGTTTTGCAGATCCATGTGGTTTTGTTCATGCCAATCATGCAAAACTTTTGCAACTCTCTTGCAAGGTGTGAAACTGTTAAAGGAGAGACAGTTAAGTGGTTATATGTGATTGAAGTTGACACTTTTAATGTTATTAATAGATGTAATAAGGAGGCTAGACCACCATAGCTTTTGAGATCAATTTGGTTGCAAATTACAAATATTACTTCTCAGATAGAAGTTTTCTTTAAACATGTTTATAAAGAATCCAATGAAACTGCGGATAGTTTGGCTAAGGGAAGTGGTTTGACGAATATAAGAAGGAAAATTGCTTCATGCAGGCTGGATCACATTTGTACAATATGCGGTCTCAAGGTATAAAGCATTGATATTAAAGATGGATGCAAATAGGTGGTCCATTTAAAAACAATTAAAACTAACGGTCCAAATGCTTTCTTCATAAAATCATTATGTTTATTTTTAAAAAATTTATTTATTATTTTATATTCATAATCTTCATGTTAGAGATCCTTAAAAATTGGGTCCAAATATCCATCTCAAAAATAGTTTTTGAAGAGTCCATTCATTTCTACATGGACCCATAGAAACCTGTCCATATAAGAATACTACCCTATCCTGCATGAAATAAGGTCCATGACGTGGTCGTTTCCATTACTTTTCATGGTTGGTAAGCTTAATAAGGTTGTATGAGAGAGGGACAAATATCGAATCCTTGAGCTCTTACGACTTTCGCACCACCACAACACAAAAGCACACAGGACAAAGTGGGAAGTCATTTAATGAAATGTCACGAGCTCACCAAATTTTTGTATTGGACCCACCACTAAATATCCAAAAGAGAACTCATCAAATGTGATATAGGTGTCTCCCACTCACCTTCTTTAATCAGATAAATAGGAAAAGTTCGAAGCAAGACATAGGAGAATAAAAAAATGAGTAAATGCTACCCCCTATGTGATTCCATAAGAAAGGGAAGTAATTTCACAACCAACCTTCACTATTTGGTGCTTTAGGCCACCAGATTTTCTTCACTTTCTTTTATTTCATGATGTGGTATAATTATCTATTGTAGGATTGTAAAATAGTATGATGTAATTTTTTATATTTTTTATTAATAAAAAACGAATTGGGCGTTTTTTCATAACAAAAAAAACAAACTTCGAGAGAGAGGGAGGGAGTATGTGCTCAAAGTTGGGCCCTGTTTGGTTTGGCAACTAAATGCATTTAGTTCACATTTTGTAATACTCCGATGCCAGAACCATTATGTGTCTAATCCATTATTGAATCCCCCTTGTTTGCAACATACATAAAATAAGCCCTTAAATCTTTGAACCTCACTATTTCTTTTGGGTAGATCAGTGAAAAATGGATCCCTTATCCGTGGTCGGAATGAAACACAAGACATCATGTTGTGATATCTTGTATAATATCACTTGTTTTACCTCTAGTTACGTTTAATATTACTCGTACAGAGAGAGAGAATAAACTATTGTTCTTATCCATATTGTCCACGCAGAAGAGGAATGGCCTTCAAAATCATTTGTTGGTCCTACCACGTTCCCTCCTGCATGCTTCCATGACCGCAAGGTGTAGACTCACAGGTGACCAAAAATTGGAAAATATAGACCTCTTTTACATCCCTCCAGCACAGCTTATATCATAATAGTACCCCCCACTTGTGAAATACAACGTATCTCGCCATCAAGTTGGTCTTCCTTAAAGCATGAACTATGCCCTTGCAGGAGCAAACTATCCATTTGCTCCCTTGAGTAGAAAATGTAATTACAATGACTTTTTGGAAAGGAAAATTTGGTATCCATTTAAATATCGTTAAATGGTGGGGGATTTGGTCTCTAGGTTATAGAGGATACATCCTGAAAATTTGGGACCTAAAATATCCCTAATGTAGTTTTTGCCTGAGGGGTCAAATGAATAATTTGTTCCTATCAGAGCATGAAATTATTTGGCACCCCCACCAGCATGAGCGTTAGCAAAATGTTGTGGAAGGTTTTGACAGATTATGATGAAAGGGACGACAATGCTCAAGTGTCCCTTGTTGAGTGGGGGACCGCTAAGAAATTGGTAGCAATAGAGTGCTTTAGTTGACTACATATTTCTTAAGCGCTTGAAGATAGATATACGTGGTCTTTGTCTTTTCACAAATGATGCACGCAAATGGTTTGGGCTTGCAATTGGTCGAGCAGCAAGGGCCTAGGCCATAAATTG